CACAGGTGTCCAATCTGATGGCAGGGGCTGGGGTCCCATCGCTGTGAACTGCAGGTTAGAGAAGAGCTCTGTGAAAGAGCACAGACTCCAAGCCTGGGTTAGGTTTCCAATTTGGATTCGACCGCTGAGGAGTTCTGGGCCCTGCGCAAGTTACTTATCTTCTTGCCTTGATCTGACTCCTGATATTGTTGAAAGAAGTGAATAACTCAAAGTATGTGAAAGTGCTGTAGGACACAGCCTTTCACATCGTAAGTGTTTCACACGCTTCAGATACCATTATTTCCCAAACAACCAGCAGCGTTTGCAGGACTGAACCTTGTTCCAGCTAAATCTCCCTTTGTCCTGTGAGTCAAAAATGCTGTCATTCGAATCCCATCTTTGCTCCAGGTCATCCACATAAGTTCACTGGCTGCAAAAGCCCTGAAGCAAAAATTGGAACTTGGTAACATTTTTATATGTCATTCACCTTTGTAATCGTCAATATTACTAACATTTTAGTAGTTTTTTAAAGGAATATCTTAGACTTCCATAGGTAGAAAAATTCATGGTTTTATATGTGGGTTCCAAAAGTTTTTTATTTATTTTTTAATCTTTTCTTGTCTTTGCTCTATTTAATTCTTTTGGAAGGAAATTTAGAAATAATTTTAGGAGAATTCTAAATTTTGTAGCTTCCTGAAATTTCTCTACTAATATGATGTATATGCATTTCTCTCGGTAGAGAGATTTACCATGAGCAAAATTGATTTCTCTTGAAAATTTTTGTAGTTATTTATAAAAAGGAAGAGATAACACATTTGCCTTTGCCATAGTAACCACCACTGCAAATCAGATACATAAATATCATCCGGAAAGTCAAGTACATACAAGAAACATATTGAAATTAGGAAAAATATAACCTAAGAATAATATTGAAGTGATTTAGAGCTGGGTAGACATCATTATAGTTTAAATGTCCAGTTGATCCAACAAAATAGAATGTTCTATCTTTTCTACATGATTTCTGTGACTTGCTTCTGAGCATTTTTCTTAAATGAAGAATTATGCTAAAGCTTTTTGATAAATGAAGGGAATCCTCTCATGAAAAATAGAATTCTACTGCATTGCTCTAGGTTGTAGAAGTTTTGGCTGTGATGTAGCGTGCTAGGTCACTCAAGTGGGAAACTACTCCTATGTGGTAGAATTAATGTTCTAGAGCCCATCTTTAAAGTTTATTACTTACAGGTAGGAGGTATACATTGGTTGTGGCAATAGGGAAAATTGGAAACCGATCTCTCTGGGTCTAGACTGCCATTACATTTGGAATCATAGGTTGAAAATCTCTCATTTATGACAATATAAAACATTATGTAAATTGCTTTTCATGCCTATCCTTTTTCTCCCCCCTTACATTAGTGGTTTTACCACTGCTTACCTAAATGTTCCCTGTTCTTGCTTCTGCAGCTACAGTTCTTACTCTGGTGCTGTCTTTTCTTTATCTTGCTCTATCTCTCACTTGATGTTTAATGTTTTAATGCTGACAAAAATGCAATATTTGTGTGTGTGTGTGAGAGAGAGAGAGAGAGAGAGAGAGACAGAGATACAGAGATAGAGAGACAGAGAGACAGAGAGACAGAGACAGAGAGACAGAGACAGAGAGAGACAGAGACAGAGAAAAAGAGAGAGAATGAATCCCAGAGATTAGCAAATGTATTTGCTACTATTCTATTATTAAATTAATAATAGAATCCAAGTTAATCTTTTGTACTTATAGCCGATCTTTTTCTAAAACAATTTTCCTCTAGAAATCTGGGAGTACTGTACTTTTATAGATTTGCAGCAGGGGTGAAAAATATTGGTGAGTTTAATATATATATATATATATATATATATATATATATATATATATATATATATATATATATATGGAAATATTATAAGCAGATAGTAATTATTAAGGAGACAAAATAATTTGATAGAAGTAGGCTAATTAATAATTTGATGTTTATTGTTATTTTTGTGCCAGTAAATATAATTTCATTGTGTAAAGTCTTCAGGAAACCAAGGTCAGTGCAAGTGTTTACAGATGGATGCTTTCTTCAGATACATGGGGTCTTAAACATGTGACTGTATCCATGAGGTAACCTGAACCTTGGCAGAGGTTCATCCAAAATCTTAGAGAAGTACAATCAGTTATCAACAGGTATTAATTTGGTATGTGTAATAGACATATGGAATAACTGTAGGTGATGTTAAGAGGGTTTAAATTATTCTGAAAGCAATGTAAAATATGAATACTGAAATGGAATTTGTAAAAGATTGCTGTAATATGGAGAAGAGTTTGAGGCAGTAAGAGTGTATGTGGGTAGATCAGATGAGAAATCTGCAGGAAGGTCTGACCTGACCCGATGTCCTAGGTTCTTAGATTAGCATATGGTATGCAGATATGGAGAAGTGAAAAGACTTGAAAAGCACTCCAAAGAAAAGAAATGAAGAAGGCTTCCTGATAGTCTGCAATGACAGCGGAGAAGAGGTGGCAAGAACAACTTTAAGTGTTTTTTTCATGTAGTAGGCACAATGCATCATAGCATCCAGAGTGGCCTCAAATTTGGAGCTCAAATTGCGTTAGAGATGTCCTGGAGACTTACAAAAAACAGACGACAATGAAAATACCTGCTTTAAGACCTTAGAGAAAAGATCTAGCCTAAAGGCAACATTTTGTGAATGAAATTTTTGCTTCTGGGAAGATGATTTAAGCATATTTTTTTTCTTCTTGCTCTCACTGACTGCACTAAAATTCCTGGAAATTTTATATGAAATAAACATAAGATGACGCTGAAAGGCATAGTGCGGGAGATGTACTGCTTACAGATGTCAACCCGCTCTCTCTAGACAAAGTACCCTAAAACAAAGCCTAACAAGAAAGAAACATTTTAGACCAAAATCACCCTATGCCAGCCAAACATTACAGAAGACACTGATGGCAGTACCCTTCACACACCAGCAAATGGCAAGGTGAGGACATAGACACTCATTCTCCCCAGCCCGGAATGAGGCACCTCAGCATCCTGCCTGGGTGTTGTCAGGTGCTGTGAAGATAAGGAGTAGCCTTTGGTATAGAGCTACATGGGGCAGAATGAATAACTCAGAAGTAGACCTGCATTCATATGCCAAACTGAGTTTTAATGAAGTTGCAAAAGCAATTCAACGGAGAAAAGCATAGCCTTTTGAAGACACCAGAATGGAACAATTGGATACATATAGGCAAAATAGGAACTTTGATCTAAACATTATAGCTAAAATAAAACAACTCAAAAGAGCTTGAAAATTTAAATATGTATGTAAAATACAAAGCCATGAACTTTAATAAAATAATTAGGAAAATTACTTAGGCTCTGGGGCTAGGAAAGTACTTCTAAAACCTTGGTCTCTGCCAAAATATTATGTGGGTTTAAAGACAGGCAACCAACTCATAGATGATACTTGCAGAGCACATTGACAACCAAGTACTAGTGCGGTATTTGGAGTGTAGTTTTGAAACTCTCGGTCAGTAGTTTTTATTATTAACTTTTTAGTCAAGCAGTACAAAAACTTGAAAAGATACTTCAAGGAAAAGGATGCACAGATGGTAAATAGACACATAAAAAGATATTTAGCATCATTTGTCATTAGGTAAATGTGAATTAAAGCCAGAAGAAAATATCACTACCCACACATCAGAATTGCTGAAGTTAGAAATAATGAGAAGTACCGGATACTGGTAAATGCATAGAGGAAAAGAATCACTAACAATGCTGGTGCAAACGTGAAAATCATTCTAGAAAAAACACTCAGTAGTTTCTTGAAATCAACAGTATGTAACTACCATACAAACTAGCAATTATACTTTTGTATATTTAAGTGAGATAAAATTTATGTTCATAAAATTCATACAGGATTTGTTCATAGTAGCTTTCTTCATAATAACCAGAAAACTGAAACAACTCAGGAATCCTTTAACAGATGAGTTGTTAAACAAACTGTGATATATCCATATCATGGAATATTATTAATCAATGAAGAGGTCTAGTTTTTGGGGTTTTTTTGTTTTTTTTTTTTTTTGTATTTTAGTATAAGGTCTACAGGGTCTATAGGATCTCACTTCAGAGATCAGACTCATAGTGATCCACCTGTGTGCAGCCTCCCAAGAGCTGAGATTACAGGTGTGTGCCACTACATCCAGTCTCAATCACTGTCTCAGTGTGTCCCGAGGGCGGGGCTGGCACGGCACACCAGGGATTGAACCTGGCCACAGTGTCTGCCTAAGCAGACACTTTAATCTGCTAAGCTATTTGGCCAGCCCAAGAGGACCTAGTTTTGGAAACATAATAGCTTGAGTAAGATTCAAGAGAATTATGCTGCATTAAAAAACAAAACGAAACAATTTTGGGTCTGGGGAGATAGCTCAGTGGTCTAAGCACCTGCCTGGCAAGTGCAAGGACCCAGGTTCAATCCTGGGTACTGCATGCCGCACTGGCCCTACCTCCAGGCATGTTGAGCCAGCCACTAAGACCAGGCGTGGTGGTGCATGCCTATAATCCCAGCACTGGAGAGAGTGAAACAGGTGGATCACTATGAGTCCAAGCTGTGTAACATGACCCTGTACCAAATACATAAGTTCAAAAAGAATGAAAGCCAATTTCCAAATATTATGTTATGGTATGATTCTATTTACATGACATTCTTGAAATGACAAAATTATAGAAATAAAGAACAAATTATTGACTGTCAAGGGATAAGGATAGAGAAACCTGAGAAGTGAGCCAGAATTAGTAATGTTCTATAAGGGCAACACTGAGGATTCTGGTGATGGTGTAATTGTTGTGTATTCTGACTGTATCAACCCCAATACAGGAAGTGTGGCATTTGTACTACAATACATTTTAACATTGGGGGAACCTAGCAAAGGGTATATGGGATCAATTTGCATTATTTTCCATAACTGCATGTGAATCCACAATTACATTAAATGAAAAATGTTATTAAAATGCTGATGAGTTATTTGGATGTAGACATTGATAAAAAGCCTTGGATATAGTTGACCGGTAGTTGGGAGGAAACTGTAGAGTGAAAAGAGAAAAGAGCTAAGATGAGTCCTGGGCAATCAAGTATTGGATAGTTTGGGAGGAATAAATGACTCTGAATGGGATACTCAGAAAGGGAAAAAAACTAGAACACGCATTGTGTTCCAGAAGGTGAGTGGATGGGAATTTCAGAGAAGGAGTCAACACTGTTGAAATCTGCTCATTAATCAGGTAAACTGAGGGAAGAATATAGTTATACTTAGTACAAGGAAAGTTGTTGCAGATCCTACTGAGTCATAAAGAATAAATCTAAATTGAATTACCTATGGACGAGTGTATAAACAAGTTTTCCAGGAAGCTTATGAAAGTGAAAACAATGGCATGGAGACTGGGATTTCAAGGCAAATCTGTTTAAACTTTGAGGAGATTATTTTAGAGGGTATTTGAGGTGAGGAAGCTTTATGTGCAAGGCAAAAGTGAATTATTGGTAGTGTGATATGCATCAGAAAGTGGGAAATAAATGGCTCCAAAGCACCAAGAGAATTTGACTTTTGAAAGAAACATAAGCTCAGATCATTTATTACAACAAAAAGAAGTTTGGGTTCGAACCTACATAAGTTTATGAGTTTTATATTGGATTTAAAGTAGACTCCGTTCTAATGGGTTTTATTTTCTCAACAAAATAAAAGATGTAGTTGCTTGTTCACACTTGAGGATTGGGTAGGGTAGAAGCTTTGTCCTGAAAGGATCAAGAACAATCACTGTGCAGAGCACAGTACTGAAGTGGCCACAGAAAAGTTGCCAGTGTGGGCCAGGGAGCATGGCCTTTTGGGAAGAGGTGGTGACGCATTTGCTCTGCAGGAGGACACTTGCATGGCAGCACCTGCCTGCTTTAGTTTAGCCGAGGAAAAAGTTGGGGGAGCGATGGCACTGGCCCATCTCTTGTCTCCATAATGTTATTCATGATGCTTTCTGCCATACGCTGTGTTTTCCCATTAACTTAAGAACAACCCTGGGGCTGGGGAGATAGCTCAA